ATTTAAATAAAAAACTGAGTATTGGTTTCAAACAAAGAGATTCACTAATTAACCAATACACAACAACTACATGTATTAGCGACACGCACGCGAAATAACCTTTTGGTCACACAAATAAATTAAAATTTTTATTTATAATCAGAACATAAAGACATAAAACACATTTAGTCGTTTAACCATTTCCCTTTTGTTTGTTTTACTACCAAAAATGATTCTTCACCATAATCATCAAATTTCACTACGTAATAAAAAAGGTTGGGAAAAAACAAGATCCCTTATTGAAAATGATAAAAGAACCGAACCTTTGATTCAGATTTATAGTCCAGAGGACGATTCTTCGTCAAATAAAATAATACAAACCCAATTCGAATTTTTATTGTCTTCTTTTTCAGACCCTTTAAATAAACAAGCACACAAAATAATCTTAGAGACGACGACGACGACATTAGCAGAGAATTCTCGAGAAAAACAACCACTTCAGAAATCAATAACTGAGAATAATCAATCAAGATTAAATTTACCGACAACGGAAGGAAAGGTAAAGATACGACCGCGTCCAGTGACTTTTGATGCCACTGTTGCACCTGACGAAATAAAAGAAACCTTGGCTAAGATTCCAAATGACAATGATTCGACGTTCTTGACACCACCACTTAATACGCCACAATTGAGTAGTGGAGAAGTTTCCAAAAAAACCGCTTCTACTTCAAGTAACATTTCACTACCATCACAAACTAACGATCCTAAATCAAAAACTCTCCCACAATTTGTGTTCAAAGCTCTTACAAAACGTCCTTCGAGATCAAAAGCTTCGAGAATGGGTTTGATCCGTGATTTGAAAAGAATATTTCAACGACCAGGTGTTCTTCATCGCCGTCGGTCAATGCGAGGTGATCCATTTAATCAAGATATTCAAGAGGCTAATTTTAAATTTGGAGATCTTGGTAAAGCACTTGGATCGGGAGCAGGTGGTTCTGTTCATTTAGTTCGTCGACCGAATGATTCTAAATGTTTCGCAGTAAAACAATTTCGTCAACGAGGGACAAATGAAAGCGAGCGTGCTTATGTGAAAAGAATCACCGCGGAATTTTGCATTGGTTCTTCACTTCATCACGAAAACATTATCGGGACATTGAACATTGTACGTGCAAATGGTTTTTTTTATGAAATAATGGAATTCGCTCCATATGATCTCTTCGATCTGGTCATGTCAGGTAATCAAACGAAAGCGGAGATAGCATGCTTATTTAAACAACTCATCAACGGTGTTGAATATTTGCATGAGATGGGAATTGCACATCGAGATTTGAAGTTGGATAATTGTGTCGTGAACGAACGAGGAATCCTAAAAATTATCGATTTTGGATGTTCGACTGTATTCAAATATCCATTCTCGGACAAAATCATAATGGGTTCAGGTGCATACGGCTCGGATCCATACATCGCTCCTGAATGTCATCTAGAAGGAAAATATGATCCACGGTTGGCTGACACGTGGTCAGTTGGTATTATTTTTGTGTGCATGTCAATTGGTCGATTTCCTTGGATGCTAGCGAATCCAAAAACTGAAACACCATACCGAATATATCTGAAATATCCTGAAAAATTACTCAAACGACTTCCTGAAGAATCACGACAACTAATTCAATGGATATTAGAGCCGGATGTCGCGAAACGAGCGACAATCTCTGATATTCTATCACACGAATGGATCTCGTCCGTGGAAAGATGTCATGAATTGGAATCTGCTAATGATCATGCGCATGTGCTACCTTTGAATATGAATAAATTGAATGGAAGTGGCGACGAGCACATCACTAATAACAGTAATGTTTCGTCATCTTCTACCGTTGTCTCGACAAGTAGCGCATATGTGTTGGAAGGAAATGGAGTAGAATCATCGTATTCTAAAGAGTTAAGGCAGAGAAAGTGTAAAAAATTTTTTAGAAAGAAATCTTTATTTGTTAGTTAAAATTTTCTCAAACCCACATCGGACTTTATCTGAAAATCTTATATTTCTTTTTTATCTTGTACAGTATTTTTAGAATTCACTTTAAGATATATCAAAACCTTGTAAAAAACGTAAAACTTGTATAAAACTCGTAATAAACAAAAATTTTAACGCCTAAGCAAACAGTTGCACGAGCACAGTTCATGTATTTGTTGTATTGACTATGAAAAATCTTGAAAAATACAGATTGCTTATTACATTTACAGTCTTCCCTCCCATATAATCACGCCCTTGGGAACAGCAAAAAGTGTGACTTTAAAGAGGTTGTGACTATATAGAAGTCAAATTTCCTATGCTTTATAATATCTGGAATTGGGAAAAGTTGTGATTGTAGAGAGGTGTGACTTTATAGAGTTGACTGTAAAGGGGGGGATGACCGTAATTCTATGTTTATAAAGCACTACATACTATACAATTCACTCTTGTTATAATGAATTCTCATTATAGTGAAACTCTCGGTATAGTGAAAAAGTCATTAATAAATTTCAACTCGATATCGTGAAGTTATATATTACTTCCATCAGAAGCTATAATGAAGATTTACTTCCATTATAAGCTATAATGAAGATTTTTTCCCTTACCCTGATACTGTTGATGTTGCAACAAAAGTCTCGTGGTCACGGAATATTCTGGAGTGATGCAAAGTTTCTTAATTCTGAACTCCTACTAGTAATGTGTAACAAAAAAATGTTGCCCCATAATACTTACGCCGATGCCAGAATTCTTACAAAATTCCTACCTTGTAGCATCAACATTAACCTCGGAACTTCAATTATCTTTAAAAATTTCTACCAAAATTCTTACTTTGTGCGTTATCCCCTTATTTCGTGATAAATCAAATTTTTTATTACTTCTTTAGTTATATTATAATTATTACATTAAATTTTATTATTATTATTTTATAATATAGTTATTTCTTTCTTTTGTAAAAATTCAAACTAGAATCCCTATTTTGTGTTTTAATGAGCGCGAAACCTATAGTAAACGATGTCATTTAAATGATTGTGGAATAGTAAAAACTGTATATATAGGATAACTCTCGAAGGACAGAGAGACAGGTAATGTGCGCTTCTTTTGCCATAAAATTTGATGCATTATATGAGTCCTGAGGATGCTAAAGGAAAAGCCATACACTAACGCAGCAGATATTTATAGCTTTGGAATGGTTACGTACGAGGTTGTAACTGGTGAACGACCATTTGGTAATCGAAATCATGATATACGCATCATATATATATTTATATATATATATATTATTAAATTATTTACTAATATCTTATTTTTTTTAGTACTACCCGTGCGGAAAAAACAACCTCATTATTAATTTTTTAATATATATTTTAGCTCGTGGTGGCAAAATATTAAATCCAAGACTTGAACAATTCCGATATTTTGTTTATTATTTTTATATTTATGGAAGCTCTATATCAGATAAACGTTACCCTATTATATTTATCTATCGATCCTTATTATTAAATCCCCACTCATAAATAATAATCAGATTCAATACACTTCCAATATATTTCCTTTATTTTCTTATTATATAGTTTTTATATTACCTTTACTTATAAAGAAAAGGATAGCATTATTAACTACACAAGAAAAAAGATAGGGAACAAGAAAACAAACTTATATAGCACTATATGGATCAGAGATATTACATACCAAAGGGATATTCTTACTGCAAGATAGATGAATGGCCCAATTGCGTGTTATCTGCTTCCCTGTGGTTATGAGATGAAATGGCTGTCAAACCCGGTTTCATTGTTTTGCACATCTCGTAATAAGCCTTCGGTGCGTCCCTTGAGATCCTCTGTGTGTGTGTTGAAAATGTGTGACAAGTTACACCGATTATATTGTTTAGAATATGATTTTATAATATTATATAATTTTTAATTTATTATTTTTAACATTTTTAAGTATTATATTTATCATTATATTATATTTCTTATTTATAATATTTTTCAATATATAAGTTTTCAGTATATAAGATTATGTTATGCTTTTATTTTCAGCATACATTATTAATATTATAGATTATAATGACCTTTTTCTTATTTTTCAATATTTTTCAGCATAATTATATATAATATTTTAGTTATATTTTACTATTGCTCATTTTATTAATATATAAAAATTATTTAAATTAAAATAATAATAGAAAAGTCTAACAAAAAAATGTATAAAATAAATAGTTTTCAGATCTTTAAATAAAATAAAAAATAAATTTGTATATAAAACCTTTTCTTTAAGTAAAAATACTTGTAAAATCTTTCAAAAGAAATTATAAATTCTAAATAGATTGATTAGATTCTTTTTATTAGAAAAGATGATGAATTGATTAGATCTTTTGATTTAAAAAAAATAAAATATAATATTAATTTAAGACTTTTATCTAAAAAAAAGTATATGATTAAAGAGTAAACTGATCAATAATTATTAAATAAATTTTTCTTTATCTCACCTCCTAATTACTTACTTATTCTTTTTTAAAATATTTATAGTAATTAATAAAAATATTTGAAATGTCAATCTGGTATATAAAATATTATATAACATTATCAATTTTAAATTAATATATATAAAAAATTAGAATTACTTTGTTTAATAATATATATAAATATTTTTGCCATCAGTTTTTATATTTATTAGCAAAAAAAATAAAAGAATATCATCTATTTCTAATCATAAAGCACAAAAAATGGTGATAAGTCAGCTTTGAACAAATAATATTTAGAAATCTGTAGAAATTATGTGAATAACAAGTTTTTCTAAATCTATAATGTATGATATAATTAATTAGATTAAAAAATTATCAAGTATTATGGCACTTTCCAGATCTGAAAGACTTCCAATTCTCATAATTCAATAACATCACATTCTTGATCAATTGGTACAGATCAATAATATTATTACCATAGCTGAAATAACTGAAAGACTTAAACAAAAAGATCCCAGCTTGAAAGTTCCCATTCATACAATTTAACATATCTTAAAAAAAATCTTTGATTTGATATTTGTAATCCACTGTGGATTCCTCTTTTACAGCTCCTTCACATTACAGCTCATCTTGAATGGGCACAGAAATATGTCCATCAAAATTGGTCTCAGATGATTTTCTCTGATAAAATAATCCTCCAAATGTTTAGTTAATAAGATATCATCATGAAACATCATGACCACATAAAAGTATGGTGATAATGCAGGTGAAATAATTAATATTTTTCATGTTCAAATTCTTGATTGGCCTTCTTACTTGCCAGATATCAATCTCATTAAGGATTTGCGAGCTATACTTAAGGGAAAGATGGAAAAGAAGGTAAATTTATGGTTAATCAAAAAAAAAACTTTCAACAAATAATAATACAAATGGAATGGGCAGTTTGAGTGAAGATCTCTTTCTTCGATTAGAAAGGAGTATGAAGGATCATGTTTCGGCGGTAATTGAATGGAGAGAAAAAAATTGACTATTAAATTTTCGTAAATAGTTAGTAGTCATATTTGAGAATGTGCGTACAAAATTTTCACATGTTAATAATAAAATTAAATGTCTTACCTGTCATAATAAATTCCAGATATTTATGTCGATCACTGTATATTGTATATTCATAGATATTGGCATAGGATTTAGACCAACAGGTAAAATTAGTCTAATCATTCTCTTCCACCCACAGTCACAGTTCCCAAATTTCCTTAAATTCATGTACCTGTGACAACACATGTTGGCAAATCACCTGAAATTATCTGAAATCACCCTGAATCGTGTGATCTCGTGATCCCCTTTTTATCAAAGATTTTCTAATACCGTAACATCACCAAATTCTTATATAGTGATAGTGGTTATGCGAATACTTACTTTTTGTATCATATCGTGATAATAGACATCTTACAACAATACAACAATATTATAATTATGTGCATTCAGCAACTCGTATTAGAATATGTTGGGGAATTTACATACACTCATACAAGTACATGAATAGTATCTCGTGATGATTAAATTGAAGAAAGTTTATTGGAAGCAGATAATATAATTTATATACAAGAAAGTTGAAAACATTTTAAATTGAATAAAATGTATATAAGTATTAAATTTTAAGAAAAAAGTTATATTATAATTTTTAATTTATTTTTTTAAAGTTGGATCAACAATTTTGAAGGAAACTCGGAAGGAATATCAAAACAGAAGAAGTTGATTGAAAAGGTACAGAATATGAAGAAATTGATTGAATATTTGCAGGAGGTGAGGGAGGCGAAGGATAAAAAGTGGTATTTGAAGTGGTTGCTTTAAAAAAATTAAATTTATATTAATAAATTAATAAATATTTAAATAAAATAAAATATAATTATACATTTTATATTTTTATTATTTATTAACAAGTTAATTAAAAACTTTCGTTCTTCATCCCGATTTTTTTCTTTCAGCTTTTGATATTTTTTTTTCTTAGATCTCGTTCAGTTTTACGTGCAAAAGTTTCTTCTAATATGCGCATACATTTATTAATACGGATAAATTTTTTCAAAGAATTATTTTCATTTGAATTAACATATTTTTTGTATTTTTCTTTCTGGTATATTGAATATTTTCGGAATTATTAGTTGAAGTTGAAGAGGATGATATTATTGCTACAGGTTTAAATGTTGTTCGTTACTTCATTTAAAAGATTGTCAAGCTCTGTACGAAATGGAATAACTATTGCTTCGCCACTACTCTGATTTTCTACATTTTTTCACTCTAAATTATATAAAATAATTATATTTAATATTTATTTGAATAGCAAAAATAACTATATAACTTATAGTTTTGCGACAAGTTTATGAATTTGATAAAGCATTGTTGAGTCATATAGTTGAGGTTTTGTTGAGAAACTAAATGTATACTACATTCTTGCCAAAGTGGCCCATTACCATTAATCTTTCCACGCTCTTTTTTAAAGCATCAATAGCTTCTTTTCGCGTATCTAAAAATGTTAAAGTAGTTTTAGTGGCACTTGTTTTCCGCTTTATTATTGGTGAACTAACAGATTGTGAAGAGTTGAAACTATTGGCAGCCATTATTAATGATTTAAGATATTTGTCGCGTATTAAAGTTAAATTTAATTCGATTAAAAGTTAAATTAACTTGATTAAAAGCTAAATTAAACGTGATTAAATGCGTCTTATTTAATTTGTTATGGCCAATCTAACTTGCAAGCTAGATTCGATTTTATTGCTCAATCAATCCAAAACGAAATTCGTGTGAAGATTGATCAATCCAAGTCAATCCAAACTGTACGTGAAGACACCCATAATAGATATAATAGGGTAAGGCTTGTCTGATATAGAAAGTTTATTTTGCTTCCATAAATATAAAACAAAAATGTTCGAGTCTGGATTTAATATTTGCCACCACGATCTAAAATATATATTGAAAAATTAATCATGAGGCTATTTCCCGCACGGGGAACACTGAATCCTAACAGGCACTAATATCAAATAAAAAAATAATATACAAGACAAACTCGATAAGACGAAGGTCGGGGGCAGAGACAATTTATTCGGCTTATCGAGATTTTCGTTTTACTAAATTTCGCACAAAGCCGAATTTATATATAATAAAAAATTTGGTAAACCAGAAAAGCTTCGGCTTAATGCAATTTCGGCTTAGCGTGGCTTCGTCTTAACGAGTTTGCCTTGTATTAGTAAATAAGCTAATTAATATATATAATACACTTATCATTACACGTACATTTGGCATTTTATTTGGCAGCAGTGGAACCAACAATTTTTGCCACCGCAACTTCAAGAGAACATTAGTATCAGAATTATTATTACTTTGCTTGCTTGAGACTTCATGCCAAGACTCTGATAAAAGAATATAGAAAGGTCTCAATTGTTAAATTGTATTAGTTGTCGTTGTTGGTGCTAGTGATTTAGCGGGAGTTGAATCATCTTCAAGTGGAAAACTAATCTCGTGTGGTATACTAATATCGAAATCTGTTTTTTATCACCAAAGAAAATAATGAATTAAAGAAATTGATGAAAATAATATCAGATGTAAGTTTACCTTCGTTTGGGACATATAAACTGATACTTGTAGAACTTAAATTGTTGATTTATTAATACAAAATGTAAGTTTATTGAATATAAAAATAAAATTTACATACCTATTTCAGTTGAAATTGATATTGATTTTGAGATAAAGATTCTATTGGTGTAAATTGCATTTGAGTAGATTGTTTGTCTTTTGTTTGTACTCATATAAGTGTCTTTTACCTTATGTTTTTCTATTTTAATACACTCTTTAATTTCTTCATCTGTTTTAGGATATTCTAAAGAACTGTAATACTGGGAATGTAAAAAATTCAATTTCGAATAATTTTCATTGTCATAGTAGATAGATCCGATAAATCCTTCAAGTTCCTCAGCAGTTGGTCTGTTTTCTGGAATAGGATCCCAACATTTTTCAACAATAAATTTGCACAATCCGGGAACATTATTTGGTATCGTAGGTCGTACTCCTTTATGAATGTCTAATACGTGTATGTCATGACTTCGCTCACCGAACGGTTTTTCATTTGTTACAATCTCATACATAACCATCCCAAATCCATAAATATCTACAGCTTTAGTGTATGACTTTCCATTTAGAATTTCTGGACTCATATAAGGAAGTACGCCGCATATTTTTTGCTCAGATTTTTTAATAAGTGCTTGGCCGGTGAGTCCAAAATCAGAAATGAAAGCAATATAATGTAATAATATATTTCCAGGATGAAAGTCACAATGCACAAATCCCTCATCATGGATTTTGCGCAGGTCACTGATGGTATTACATAATAGCTCTAATTTTTGGACCAATTCATTACCTCACGTTTGGAATCAAGGTATTTATGAAGATCCCCACTTATCGCACGAGTCATTACCATCGAATATTCATCCGTAGTTGGGTTTTTAGTAATTCCATAATATTTTATTCCATATGGACCACGTGATAAAGTGCACTTTAAAGCAATCTGAATCTATTTTTTTAAAAAATTTATTTATATTAAAAAAGCTTATATGTTAAAATGTTTCATTCTTTTTATCTCATTAGTAAATTCTATTGTGATTTGCTTTAAAGCATGAAATGATTTCAGCACAACTTCCAATTCTTCATAACGTATCCATTTATCTTTATCATGATCCCATCCCTCTAATGGTCCATCCAACCAGGTTGCTTTATAAATTATTCCAAAACCTTCTTTTGCAAGAAATTCAACATTGGTGAATCTTTCAGAAGGAATCCATTCGAAGGACCCTTGAACTTTCATGCATTCTTCTATCAGATAGTCGACATCTTTTTTCCCACTAGACCATTTAGCTTTATAAAATTGATAATGATAATCTAAACATCCTTCGCAGTATTTATTCTTCTGACACAAAGCGCATTTATGGCAGTGAAGAATTTTTAAGGCTTTCGCATACTTATCATTATGGTGATCAAAATTTTTTGTATAATCCATCACTACCAAACATTCATTTGTAACTGGATTTTTAGTTATTCCGTAACATTTAAGAGCAGTTTGAATCTATTTTTAAGAAATTTAATTGTATTGAAAAAAAGTAACTTTCACTTTAAAAAATAAGCATTTTTTACCTCGTATATAGTAATTTGGTTTGAATTGTGTAATGATTTCAACACAACTTTTCTTTCTCCATCTTGTTTAAATTTATTTCCTTCATGATCCCAAGAATATAATGGTCCATCCAACCAGGTTGCTTTACAAATTGACCCAACCCTCCTTTTTCAAGATATTGAACGTTGGTAAATCTTTCAAAAGGAATCCATTCGAATATAATTGGATAATTATAATTAATTTTGTTGCATTCTTTTATTAGATCTTTATCTCCACTAGACAATTCATCGTTATAAATTCGTATGTGATATTTGAAACAGTCATTGCAGTACTCGTTTTTTTGACAATGTCCACATTTACTACAATCATGAGTATTGGAAACTAGATTTTTAGTTATTCCGTAACATTTAAGAGCAGTTCGAATCTATTTTTAAAAAATTAATGTATTAAAAAAAAAAGCAACTTTCACTTTAGAAAATCCTCATTTTTTACCTCGTTCATAAATTCTGGAGTAATTTGCTTTGAATTATGTAATGATTTTAATACAACTTTTGTTTCTTCATCTTGCTTAAATTTATTTTCTTCATGATCCCACTTGGGATAGCCATCTAATGGTCCATCCAACCAGGTTGCTTTATAAATTGACCCAAAACCTCCTCCTTTTGAAAGATATTGAACGTTGGTAAATCTTTCAAAAGGAATCTGTTCGAATATATTCTCATACTTATAATTAATTTTGTTGCATTCTTTTATTAGATTGTCAATATCATCATCTACACTAGACAATTCATCGTTATAAATTCGTTTGTGATATTTGAAATAGTCTTCGCAGTACTCTTTTTTTTGGCAATAAGTGCATTTACTACGATTATGAGTATTGTGAACTAAACACTCATCGCAGTATCTATTCTCGACATTTAGTACATTTATTTGATTCCATCCTTGAGTTCACTTTATATCTGTGAAGTTCACCATAAAATGTATGCATTACTACCAAGCAAACGTTTGTAGCTGGGTTTTTAGTCATTCCATAATATGCTATCCTGGTGCCATAATCATAGCATTTAAGCCCAGTTTGAATCTATTTTTAAAAAAATTTAATTTTATCAGAAAACAAAAAGCAACTTTCACCTTAGAAAATGTTCAGTTTTTACCTCTTCTATAAATTCTGGCGTAATTTCCTTTGACTTGTGTAATGATTTCAACACAACTTTTCTTTCTCCTCTTCGTTTAAATTCATTTTCTTCATGATCCCATTTAGGATAATAAACATCATAATCCAATGGTCCATCCAACCAGGTTGCTTTATAAATTGAACCAAAACCTCCTTTTGTAAGATATTCAACGTTGGTAAATCTCTCAAAAGGAATCCATTCGAATATATTTTTATATTTATAATTCATTTTATTGCATTCTTTTATTAGATTGTCGATATTATCATCTCCGCTAGACAATTCATCATTATGAATTCGTTTTGTGATATTTGAAACAGTCAACGCAGGAATAATTTTTTGCTTGACATGTACATTTACTACAATCATGTATATTGTGAACTAAACACTCTTCGCAGTATCTATTCATATAACAATAGTAACTTGCTATTTTTTACCTTGTGTTGATGAATTAATGGATCATTTAGCTGGAGTATAATACTTTTTCAAATTAAATTTCTACTTTAGATATCATCAAATTAGAATCAAGAAAGAAGTTATTCACAAAATTGCATTTAGAATAAGATATAGTCACTATGAATTTCTTGTACTACTATTTGGTCTTACTAATACATCTGTCACTTTCATGATTCTTATGAATAATATTCTTTATGATTATTTAGACAAATTCATTATTATCTATCTTAATAATATTCTCATATTTAGCAATATTAAAGAAGAATATCTTAATCATCTTTGTATTATTCTTTCTAAACTTTATGAGTACAAACTTTACACCAAATTAAAGAATATGAACTTGTAAGTAATATGTTAAATACTTAAACCATTTTATATCAAATCAAGAAGTTTTGATAGATTAATGTAAAATTATTACTATTTGTAAATGGTCTAAATTAATTAATATCTCTAAACTTAGATCATTTCTAGATCTTACTAGTTATTATAGGAAATTTATTAAAGAATTTTCTGTAATTATCTCACTATTTACAGTCTTACTTCACAAAAATCATAAGTATATTTGAAGTAAATCTGAACAAAAAGTATTTGATAATTTAAAATAGTATTTAATAATCATGTCTATCTTAATTTTATCAAATTCTAAGTTATTTTTTATCATAATAACTAATATATCTGAATTTGTTATAGAAATTATTCTTAGTCAAAATCATAAAAAAGAATATCAATCTATTATCTATAAGTTATATAAATTATCAATAGCTAAATAAAACTATTTAATACATAAAAAAGAACTTCTCATTATTATATGCTATTTGCCTTTAAAAAT